CAATCTGGCTCTGAGACTATTGTATAATGCACAGTGTATTATAATATGCTCAGGATTCTCATTTGTATTGCAGAATGAGCATTCTATTGAGTCAAATCTATCATCAAATCTTTGTATATAAGATTTGAAATAGCCATGTCCTAGTTTCAGCTGTATTATAGATGAGAATATTTTCTTTTTACATTTAATTGAACAAGATTTCCACTTGGGTTTTGTTTCAAATCTTGAATAATGTATACTCTTCTTTTGTTTCTGCCAGCTTTCATTCCACTTGTCTAAACAAGATTCTTTTATTTTTCTCTTTATAAAAGACCAGGACATAATTTTTTGAATAGATCTGCTTAATTCTGCACCCTTTTTTGCAGCTGAATCAGCCAATTCATTGCCATGAATATTCATATGAGTAGGAACTCAGTGCAGATGAATTCTCAGCTTTGATATTCTTCTCTCTTGAATTTTTAAAACAGAGTTTAAGATCAGTTCAAGATTCATTTGACCATTATGAATCTGACTATTTCTAAGTCTTTTTAAAGCAGCTTGACTATCAGAGAATATCCATGCCTCTTTTAAACAATTTCCTCTTTTATGAGATTTTATTTCAATGAGTTTGAAAGCTTTCACTATTGCAAATAGTTCAGCATCAAAGACTTCACATTCAGAGCCTAGATTCCAGAAATCTGAGATAAAATTAATATTATCTTCAGTATAAGCAATGCCTGCGCCCAATCTATTCAAGTTCTCATTTTTTGAGTCATCTGAATAAATCAGAATAGAGTCTTTTATATTGATTGTAGAAATTCTCTTCAAATGCTGTTCATATTCTTTCTCTTTTGATAGTTCACTTATTTGTAAGTCTATAAGAGATTCAAGCTTTTTTCTCCAGGGAGATAACTTCTCATGATCAACTTTTTCAACATTTAAAGAAGAAAATTGATTTTTAATCAGAGAGCATAGTCTGTATAGTTGAGAAGGCATTTTCTTTGAAGAATTATTTTCATTCCAATCAAGAAATCTATTCCAATCCAGTTCATTTCCAGAGTTAATTGATGGAAATGAAGAAGAGACTCTTTCTCTGATTATATGATTTGAGCTCATCTTTACAACTCTCAGAGCATAGTTCATACAGGCCTTTTCAAATCTAATAGTAGAAGGAGGAATTGAAGCTTCAATTTCCATTGCTTTAATAGAAGATGATTTAAATGCTCCCAGAATTCTTCTCAAGGCTCTGTTTTGCAGACTTTGAAAGAGTTCAGTGAAATTCCCTTGATTATTCCATCAAACTTGAACTCCATAATCAGCTACTGATGTAATACAGGCTATATATAACTGTCTCATAGCCTGGAAGGATAGACCTCTCTCTGTATTTGATAGTCTGATTATGTTGTTCAATAGTCTTTCTGCCTTGACAGTTCTTTGTTGAATGTGATATTTAAAATTCAACTTGGAGTTTAACCATACTCCTAACCATTTGACATTTACACTGGGTTTAATCTCTCTATTTAAAAGAGTTAGAGATAGTTCTTTCTCATTGAATCTAGAAAAGAAATGAATTAACTCAGTTTTATTCATATCAAATTGAATTTGATTGATATCTGCTCTAACAAAGATTTCCTTTGCAGCTTCTTCAATTACTTTCAAATTCTCTTTGATAGTTTTTGAGCTGTAGACTAGATCAATATCATTCACATAACTCGGAGATCGCACTATTCTCATATTTCTATTTTTGAATAGATATGCAGTGTATATTGCAAATAAAATGGGTGAGATTGGAGACCCCTGTGATACTCCTATTTTTATCTCAGTCTTGTCTTGTTTCATTCCATCAAAGAAGAGTTGTATAATTCTTTTAGACATAAAACAGTTAACTCAGTTAACTACTAGAAGTATTTATAACAGAAAGATAAAATGTAGAAATTAAATCTATAATAGTATTTAAGCTGAGTTATAAATAGTATTCATGAACTTCAGTTTATATAGTTATATGTAGTCAAGAGCTGCTAACTCTATTAATTATATAAGAGATAGAAATAGAGATAAACAATCTATAAAAAGTAAGATTTCTTATATATTTCTTTCTCTCTAAGACTTTGTCTGTAAAGCCTTTCACTGAGTGATTTCATAGAATCAGACTCAGTATTATAGTGATACTTACTAAAAACTCTTCATATCTATAAAAAATCTCAGTGAGGAAAAATTCCTTATTACTGTAAAGAGAAAAGAGTTTATCACTTAGTTTCTTATTTCATGAAATTCTTTATAATCTGCAGATCTTTCTTTATTATTATTATTATTATTCCTTCATTATACTTATATGCAAGCGGAGCTTATGATGAGTTCTTACGTGATGTTAAATACAGGTCAAGTATTGATTATACAGGAGGAAATACAGGTGTTGAGATCACGCTAAGATAACAAGAACATATTATTATTATTATTATTCTTTCATTATACTCATATGCAAGCGGAGCTTATGATGAGTCCTTGCATGATGTTAAATACAGGCCAAGTGTTGATTATACAGGAGGAAATACAGGTGTTGAGATCATGCTAAGATAACAAGAACATAGGAAATGCAAAGAAGTGACAATTAGATTCATGCAATAATAACTTTCCAGCCCAGGAACATAGAGCAATTTTATTGAAGCAATTTGTACATCTCTGTATTTATTAGAAACCTGAGGTGCTTGAGTTTCAGATTTAATGTATCCCCTGCGGGTTTCGAACCCACACACCTTGGTTTCCCACGCCAAGGTGCTACCAGGTGGCCGCATTAATCATTCGGCCACCGGGGCATAACAAGAACATAGAACCATACAAAGAAGTGACAATTAAATACATGTGATAATAACTTCTCAGCTCAGAAACATAGAGCAATTCATTGAAGTGATTTGTACACCTCTGTATTTATTAGAAACCTGAGGTGCTTGAGTTCCGGATTTAATGTATCCCCCCTGCGGGTTTCGAACCCACGCGCCTTGGTTTCTCACGCCAAGGTGCTACCGGGTGGCCGTATTAATCATTCGGTCACTAGGGCGATCTTTCTCTAACTATTATACAGATTCATCTCACATCTTTTATACAGAAGAATTCTGATTGACTCTCAATCATTTTCATAAGATTCTTATATAATTATTATACAGATTCATCTTATATCTTTCAATCTGAAGAGTTTCAGTTAATCTTAAATTATTTTTTCATAAGATTCTTATGTAATCACTATATAGATTTATTCTGCAGATGAATCACTTTCTATAAGATTACTCTTATTAAAGAGAAGTATTTATAGACTGACTGTGTAACCGTGTCTGAGATTAGAATCAAACTTTACAGTTATTACATTGTCTAAAAGCATTACTTCTGATTATAATTTATGTTCATTACATTAATTTCAAATCATATTATTTTAAATATTAAAGATCTCAGATTCACTTTTCAAATAAAAATCTAGTTCTGAATAAAGAATATATTTGAATTCTTAGTCACATTTTCATTCTGATTTCATTATTGAGAATGACACTAAATGAGATTATGAAATCACTTCTCACTTACATAATATCATAACATAGTACTCATTTGTTGAAAATTTAATAGAGAGTATTATCAAATATTATTACTTTTCTAAACACAGATCATAATTCATATAATTTTAATTATAAAAAAAACATAAAATACAAAAAAAAATAAAAAACAAAAAACAAAACAAACACAAGAAAAAATCACAATAAAAAAAAAAAGAAAAGAAAAAGAAAAAAACAAAAAATAAAAATAAAAAAAATCAAGATTATAAAGTCACAGTATTTTTAAAATACTCACTTCTCAGAGTCTTTACAATGTTCATTATTAATCATGTATTTCTCACAGTGAGAGTAACACAGTTATAATGAGTTATTATCTTAACATTATCTAATAAATAATCAGTATATATCTGTATAAATATGAATAATTAGAAAACATACACTTAAAAAGTGTGATCAGAGTGGACTCTGCTGTCACTTGAATAGTATTAAGAGTAGAACACTGAAATCAATGATTTCTCTCATCAATTTCACAGATAAGACATGTGAAGATAATCTTGAGAAATATAAGATTTCTCAACTTCTGATAAAAACAGATCTCACAGAGAGACTCTATTTTCATAATATCAGAGACTGAGTATTATTAAAAAGTGTTACTTTCATGCAATGTATATACACTTACTGCAGTGATTCACTCTCTGCATATATAGCTGAGAGTTGCAGCTTTCTCACACCGCACAGCTCTCTTTGAGATACTGCTGTCAGTTTGTAACTCACACAGTCTCTCAGTTCAGCATGCACTGCATGTATGCAGTTCTGTGTACTGAGGTCATATTAGTCATTATAATCTGATGTGATACTTACTTTTCACAAGCCATGTTTCATTTGAAGAGGAGAGGAAAGACACAACTGTTATTTTATTAAGAGAGAGATGAATAATTAGTATTATTGAATTAATTTAATTCATCTGTATTTAAAATTTGATTAGTTTATACTCTTCAATTTGAGAATTTCTATAAGTGTTTTAATAGTTTTCATACCAGCTTGAACTTAGTGATGAGTTGAAGAAGAAGAGAAAAGAGAGAAGAAAGAAATAAGAATAACTTATCTTTATAATATGAAAATAGAGAATTGCTGTAATCATTCTTTCTAGCAACAAAGATCTGTTTTCTGCATGTATCTCTGATATATATTATATAATAAATGCATACAAAGAATATCAATAGTGCATGCATTGAATGAAGATAATATTGCTATGCAACACTGTAGCTGTTTCTGTACATCTCTGAAAGCTGTTAATAGTTTCTTTATCTCTTTATGTTTAATAAGTCAATAATATATTCTGATACACTTCTTCTTTCATTATTATCATCATCATCATCATTATCATCACTATCATTATCATCATCATCATCATCACTATCATTATCATCATCATATCATTGCCTGTCTTCATTTCTCTTTCAATACTTATCAAAATCAATCATGTCATCTCTCTTCAAATATTCTGCGGTCCTGCGGACCATCAAGGCGCGTGAGCGCTGTCACAGATTGAAGAAAGAGAAGAAGAAGGTGTTCAAGCATGAGAAGACAGATTACAAGACATGTTATAATGTCTTGAAGAGGCTTCATAAGAGAGTAGAATAATAATGATTTTAAGTAACACTTCTAATAGATTTAGACTGAACTAAGTATAGAAATAATGCAGATGACACTGCCTGTGAGAGATTGAAAAAGAAGACAGTGAAGAGTCTTATACAGCAGTAGTGAGATTAGAAGAAGTTCTGAGAATAATTTGAGATCAAAATGAAGAGAGAGAGAGAGAAGAAGAGTGTTACTATAAATAAGCAGCAGCAGAAGAAGATTGAGAAGATATTGAAGTGAGAGATAAAGAAGTCAAAACTGATAAGTTTTTTATTAAGAGATAATGATTTTTGATAATACTTCTGTTCTCTAATTGATTAGCAGAAGCTGACAGAGAAGAAGAAAATTGAGACCTTGTTCAGATCTTGAATATGCTTCATGATTCAGAATATTGAGAAGACAGCTCTGCTCTCTGAGCATGTCAATCTGCTTATCACTGAGATGGAACCTGAGACAGCAGATCAGAAAATGTGGGATTTTGAGATGCAGATTGACCTGGCTGAGAGAAAGCAGTAGAAACTCTTCTCTGAGAAGGCAGTGAAGAGAGATTTTGAGATGATTATCATCTCAGATGAGAAGGAGAAGAAGAAGAAGAAGAAGAAGAAAAAGAAGAAGAAGAATGAGAAGTGAATTGTGAAGAATGATAAGAAGAATGAGAAAGAGAAGAAGTAGATTTTTTTCTTATTATATTAGTTAGTTATAAGTTTAAGTTTTTAATTATTAATAATTAAAATTGATTTTGAGTTTTCAAAAATTATTGTACAAGTTGTAATCAAGTCAGGAATGATATATATATATATATATATTTAACTATCATGATTCATAAATCACTATAATATATAATTATCAACATTTTTTTAACATTGATATTTATAATATTAATATATTTTTAATAATATCATCTGATAATACAATTTGATAATACTCTCTTTCACAATATTAATATATTTCAAGAAATATAACAGAGATTAATTAAGATTGTTTATTTACTTTTATATATCAATGATATTCAATCTGAGTTAGTACTAAAATTATAACTAAGCTAAGAAACAAGATTATTTTCTCTTATATTAATTCTTCTTACACATATCAGTGATTAGTTATTGAAAATAAATTATTATCTTTCTTAAATTATTATCATATCTTCTGAATTCACTTCTTTCACTTCTTTTACTTCTATTGAAGATTCACAAACTCTTCAAGAAATCACTGTGAATTACAAAGTCTACATTGTTTACAATTCAACACAGAATACTCTCTTTCAATCATGATAAATGATTACTTTATTCTTCACATCTGATTTCAGGTCATGAAATTTATGAAAAACTCAACACAAATATCAAGATAAACTATAGAATAATTATTAACAGATTACATTGCAGATTACTGAAGAGTTATCTCTTTACTGCAATCACTGCAACTTCATTCAGAAACATTCATTATAAACTGATTATAGCTCTGAAGAAATTTTCTGACATCTGAAGTCATCAGAATGCAGATAATAAAAGAAAAATAATCAGAAAATTACTACTGAGCTGGTAAGTTACTCTATCAGATAATGATTTTTGATAACACTAACTTTCTAATTTGAAGAAAATCATGTAAAAATAACTCTGTATCAGTACTCTGATTTCACAACTCTCATCTGATAACTTCTGTGAATAATTACTTTATATATGTATATTTCTGAATCTTTCTCTTTGATTAATTGAAAACTCTGAATTTCAAACACTTCTTCAAATGCTTAATTCAAATCTTCATATTCCACATCAATTCTGTCTTCAGTTCAATCTTGAGACACACTACAAAGTCAATATACAATATCTAGAATCAGAGTTGAAGAATCATCAAAGAGTGTCTCTCACAGTGAATGCATGAACTAGTACAAATAATCTTACATTTATAAGAGTTATATGTTATTATATTAATAAGAACTGAACTTATTAAGAGACATTAATTGAATTTAAATCATTGATCAGTAGTTATACTGAGAATTATATGACAGAGATATTAATGACTGTGATTAAAAATAACTATTGAAATATTAGTCTCAGTCTTCTTACAATTATAACTGATAATGCTGTGAATAACTACACTATGATGAAGAGCTTGAAGCAAAAATTGACTTTGTATTTCTGAAATGATAAACAAGGTCATATTCTCTGTATTACTCATGTGATTCAACTTGTGATGTAAACACTGATAAAGAATCTTAATATTGAGATAAAGAATAGTGAGATGACTGGTTCTTGAAATGAGAATGAGATGAAAGTGATTACTCAAGTAACTTTTACATTCACTTTGCAAAAGATAATATTTTTTGAAAACACTTTTTAATATTGCTTTTTGATAATGCTTTTTGATAATACTACTGTTAATTTTGAATAGATTGACTAATAATTTAAATATCATAGATTTGAAACATTGCTAATGTGATTTATACCTCTTCTAAACAATAACAATAATTTCATGATATTCAATAAACAAACAAATCAGTCACATCACTGAATATGATACAGAATGTTAGAACACAGTGAAGTTTAATATATAAGATGACTGTTTGAGCTCTTCAATTGCATCAGATAATTGATCATTGAGTACAATACTCTGATTGAGAAAAGATTCAGATATTGAAACTTTCTGATATGAAGTGAACTCAGTTGAAATATGTGATTGATTTACTGTTTCAGTTTTATAAGATAACAAAGACAGTCTCAATCACTTATACATCAATACTGCAGTCAGTCTGATGAGTGTATAACAGTTTATTTACTTATCTTGAGAAGTAGTTGAATCACTTAAAAAGAAATTCAGTCTGAGATGATGTTATAGCACAGACTATTGTTACTGTAAGAGATAAACTGGCATATTACTATAGTAAAACAGAACAATCTTTTGCAGAGTACTATGCTGTAGCAGCTCTACTAGATCTCTCTCATTAAGTTAATATCTACACTTCTCAAGATTGAATAGAGAAGAAATAAGACTCATATGTTAAATTAGTCTGAGACTACTACAATGTCAACTATCAGAGATTTGAATAAGTAGATGTTCAAGATGTGAAGACAGTGAAATACAATTCTCTAGTAAGTAATGATCTTTGATAACACTTCATATCACATAGAACTATAATACTAACTTTGAAACAGAACTTACATACATTGATTGCAACTGAAAATCAGGCAAAACTACATACTTGTAAAACTGAATTTGACTGCTATCTTTAAGATGATTCAATGAATTTACACATCAAATCAATTCTAGAGTTATGAAAAATTGTTGAGAGTATATATTCAACTGTTGCACTGATGATGCATGATATTCTAATAATTTCATTGACAGAGGTGAGAATGAAGTGAAAGTTCAACTCAAGTTGAGATATTTATCACTATTATCAGAGACAATTACAAGAAGAAACAATCAAGAAACTCATAATTGTAAAACATGAAATTATTAAACAGTTTAATACCTCTGATCACAGTATATCAGAGAAGTGTAGTTTTTATGAGAAAGTGAAGAATAAACTTGTACAAGAATATATTTAGTTATTTCATAAGTGTTATCAATAATTGTTATCAAATTCTGATTATATAAGCAATCACTGAATGAACTGAATGAGACTGATTTTAATCTTCAGTCTCAGTTTCATTCTGATTTTGAAAGAATAATCATCTTTCACAGTTTATTCTGGAAAATTACTTTCATTTCACTGTTCTTGAATTAAATCTGATCATTTTTCACACCATTTCTCTCAGAAATGGTCCATTTTCAGATTTTTTTGAGGCTTGGTCCTGGTGGGACTCACATCAAGAAATGTATGAGATCAGACCAAATGAGATCAAATGTGAAATTCATGGTCTCACCGGCCAGTCTAAGTATTCATAAGTTGATTTTTCACTCATTCTTACAAATCATTATTTTTTCACACTGTAGAATTATGAGAAATTTTTCATTCTTTCATTAACTCTGTAGAATTGTAGAATTAAAATATTCACAGTCTGCAATCATTCTTTATAATTATATAGAAAGATTCAGATCTGTAATTCATAATCACTCTTTGTTTACTGAAGTAATCTGACTGTTTCACAGAATTATTGATAGTGTAAACAAACTTCTCTAAAGTAGTATAACTATCTCAGATCTGTCTGTAGAATCTTATCTTATTTCTTCTTTTCTGTAATAACTCTTATTCTTATAAACTGTGAGTATTCTTATTCATCTGTGATGTGTTTTTACTCAGATAATAGAGAGAGAGTGTTTCTGACAATGTCTATATATTAATTCAAGAACTTCTCAAGAATAAAAGATTATTCAATGTTAATATCTTTATAAATAATATCTGACTACTGCTGAGCTTCTCATGAGCATCTCTGTGACTTTTTTAATCACTCTTTATCAGCTGATAAAGCAGGAACATCATTACTTATAACAGTATCTTCACTCTTTTCAGCTCTATTATTATATCTGATCTTCAGATCAGTAGTTAACTTTGTATCTTTTTTAGATTAGTCTCTGAATTTAAGCAGTGCAGTCTTATTCTTTACTGTAAGTCTCTCTATAAGTAATTTCTTACAGACTCTAGCTGATAGTTTTTATAAAGCTCTTAATACTGTCAGTGCTCTCTACAGCTCTGTAGGTCTATAATCACTCTCTCTCTACTTATACAAGCTCTGATCAGATATATGTAAATATGTCTAGATTTTCTATTAATGATTCTCACACTGCAGTACATTTCTGTAATTTTATTATTAATAAGAGATGAGTTTCTGAGTATCTGTAAAATCTGAGTAATCAAGATAATATGAATATTATAAATTTGTAACAGAAGTTAATCTGAATAGATGAGTCTTCTCTCTGTATCTCAATTGTTTTCAGACTGAATACTTCAGTATAACTGAGAAAGTGAACACAGCTTTATAAGAAATATCTGATTACATATATAGATAATCAGCTTTCAAGACTCTGCTATAACTGTATATACTCTGATATTTAAATTCTCTGAA